CCCATCCCACCCCTTCCTTCCCGAGGCACCATCCCCACCTTTCCCGGGGCCGTCTGTCGATCCTCTTGTCGTCCTCCAGCTGCCGCTGGAGCTTTTCCTGCTCCTTCTGGAGCCGCTCCTCCACCTCCCGCTCCCGAGCCGCCGTATCCACGGGCTTGGCGCCCCCGAAGATGGAAGCAGCCCGGCTGGAYTGGGCAGCAGGAGCTGCGGAGGTTTCCTCTTCCTTGGGAGCGCTCCGGGGCTTCAGTTGGAGCTTCGGCCTCTGGGTGGGACCTGGGAAGGAGCCGGGAGATCATGGTGGGTACGGATCCCACCTGGATAATCCCTGTCCCATCCCAACATTCCCAAGGGATCAGCACACCTTTCCTGAGGGATCACTCCCACCCTCTTACACTGTTCCATGGTTCCCCATCCCACCCCACCTTTCCACAGGGATCATTCCCTGTCCTTCCCACATTTCCACAGGGATCATTCTCATCCCACCCCACCTTTCCCAAGGGATCATTCCCTGTCCTTCCCACAGGGATCATTCCTATCCCACCCCACCTTCCCCAAGGGACCATTCCCTGTCCTTCCCACCTTTCCACAGGGATCATTCCCATCCCATCCCACCTTTCCCAAGGGACCATTCCCTGTCCTTTCTTTGTACAGGGATCATTCCTATCCCCCCCCACCTTTCCCAAGGGACCATTCCCCGTCCTTCCTACCTTTCCATGGGGATCATTCCCATCCCATCCCACCTTTCCCAAGCGATAATTCCCTGTCCTTCCCACCTTTGCACAGGGATCATTCCTATCCCACCCCACCTTTCCACAGGGATCATTCCTATCCCACCCCACCTTCCCCAAGGGACCATTCCCCGTCCTTCCCATCTTCCCATGGGGATCATTCCCATCCCACCCCACCTTTCCCAAGGGACCATTCCCYGTCCTTCCCATCTTCCAACGGGGATCATTCCCATCCCACCCCACCTTTCCCAAGGGACCATTCCCTGTCCTTCCCACCTTTCCACAGGGATCATTCCCATCCCATCCCACCTTTCCCAAGGGATCATTCCCTGTCCTTTGCACAGGGATCATTCCCATCCCACCCCACCTTTCCCAAGGGACCATTCCCTGTCCTTCCCATCTTCCCACGGGGATCATTCTCATCCCATCCCACCTTTCTCAAGAGACCCTTCCCACCCCATCCCACCTTTCCCATGGAATCATTCCCATTGCATCCCACCATTCCCAAGGGACCATYCCCT